TGTTCGTAGATGCAAAATTTTTAAGTACGTTACAGCCAATAAAATAGCGATTTACATACTCCTATCATAATACCCCCCCTAGTATAATACCACTATCCGATCAAAGTACCACCCCGTGTATAGTACCCCATGGTACAACGAGGTTTTGTAAAATACCACTGGTACTTTAGTCCGAGAAATACGGTAGTTATCACATGTTCGACAAAAGAGCTGTCATTTGGAGAGAAAATCCAAAAACCAAAATAACTAACGCCGATACAATTTTATCGAGTGCGCGTTAACTTAACTTCATTCATGTGTCTCAAATTATTTCCTTTATGGTAGTGGATTGGTAGTGGTGCAAAGGGGTTTCCATCTGAGGAAGGAATTTTTACAGCATCCCAGGTCCAGTGTTGGAAATTGATTATCTAAAAACAGAGAAAATGGTTGACATCTACGAAGATCCAGTATTGAGGAAAGTGGGTTGCTTTTAGGAGGAAGAACGTATGGTAAAAAATCTACCATTGGCTTAACGCAACTCTCATCCATCGACCGAATTAGAATATAAAGATATACATTACTTTGGTGTCTTGTAATCCTGTCCCGTTTGATATTCATGTTGTTGATGTGCTTATATATTAAGAACAAGCGTTTATTTATTTATTTATTAAGCAACTAATAGTACAAATAACGTCTAAGGTGAATAAATAGCAAAGATCACATAATAATAATTTTACAATGTGAAACATAAAAAACTGCATTTTGTCGTATTGCTTTCCTCGTCACTAGTTCCATTGTTCTGCTCTACTCTCGTGAATAAGCAGGAGGTGGGCCGGCTGGCGGTTGCGAGCCACTAGCTAGCAAATCTGCCGTCATCATTCTCACGGGATTTCGGGGTAAGATTTTATGAGCACGCATATAACCCATGAATTGACTGGGTATCTCTTCTAATACTTCTTTCGTTAATTGTAACTCTGATTTGCATTCGCTAAACGCTACGAATTGTACGATATCTCGTTCCATTGTTACGCCTTGTACCTAGAAAGTAAGAAAAGTGAGTGAGTTGTTGAAACCAGTTGATCTTATAGACATTGTGCATGACCAAGCACCATGTAGAACGTGGGAGGTTTTTTTTACCTCTAATTTTTCATAATCAGCATCGAGGACTTTCATATTTGTAAAGTCGGCATCGCCTACTCCCACTATAACTATTGATAATGGGAGAGTACACGCTCTGATTATTGCTCTCTTCGTCGATTCTAAATCTGTGAGTAGAAGATTTCGCATGAGTAAAAATTGGGGCTAGATGCAAAACCTTGACATATCGAGCAAGTATGTACCTGTAATTACTCCATCTAGAAGAAGTAAAGAATCAAAATTAATAATAGTACGACAATAATATTATCGCATACCACGTGACTTACCCGTTATAATTAATAGCATATAATAAATATTATCATATCCAGCCCGGATCTTTTCCTGAATTCTTTCGGCAGTCTGATTTATTATCTAAACAATCAGCAAGTTTGCAAAAGCCATTAATATCACACGGCAGCAATAAAAGTAAAGGCTTTAACACTTATTCATTAAACATCATACTCACGGGTGAAAAGTTGGTTGGTCCATACAACTCGACTTTCCGTATTTCGCGTGTATAAGCCTCCAATATGCCTTCAACACCATCAACCTCTGGCTACAAAAAATGAAAATTGTAAGTATGTTTCAATAAAAAAAATGTACGCAAATTTAAGGTGCAAACTCACATTTCCAAAATCATTATTAAGGGGATACGCATGAGATAAGACGTGATTGAATTTTGCTCCAAATCCATAGACCTGAAAAAAATTAAAGATTAGCGTACAGCACTTACATAACACGGTGAAAAATGTCGCTTGAATAAGAACAAAATAATACCGCAAATTTTTTGTTCCTATCGTATTGCTGCACTGTAAACGACAAGGTAATGTTAGTCTTCATTAAGCAAACACGTCATCTTCCAAGATTTTTTTCTCCTTAACCGTACCACTACCATCTCCTTTCACCCTTCATATCCCTCCTTACATACAGATGCTCCCAACATTCCAAATAGCCTTTTGATAATCGTTCATTTTATCTCCATCCATATAATGTAGACTGTTCTCTTTATGCGGATCTCCGTTCGATACAGTGAAATCAATCGCAACAACAAGATGAATCTCTGTACCGCCCACAATATAGTCTAGAAATGACGCAGGCGTTTCAATAGCTTTCTGCATGACCTGAATGTGAGCCTTCTTTGGTCTGGACGCGATTGAAAGTCTTGATGAAGGAGTAGTTAACGGATATGTGCGACCCTCAAGTATCTCGCGTAGATTCAGAGAGGTTCTGCCAAGCAGAAGGTGGTCTGAGAGTGATGGGGATTAGACGCGGATTATGCGAGTACGAAGAATAAAAGGCGTTAACGTCAGTGTTAAACACAAGTTCCATGGGCATGGAATTTACAATATCAGAAACACTCACCCCCGCTCTTCTTGTATTGCAATATTCGTATCTCAAGTGCACGGTCGGGATCACTGTTGCAAAGATTAGTCAATGGAACTATACAAAACCCACAGAAAGTCAAAGATTCAAGTTAACGTTTAATTTCATAAAACAATCCGTAATCCAAACAGAAAGAAAGACTCCTTACTGTTAAACTGATCGAATAAAGGGCTAGAAGTAAACTGCTTTTCACTTCTGTATACAGGCGAAAAAGTACTATCCTCATTTGCTCGACTTATTGTGAAAAAAACACCCGGATCCTTTGAGAGTATACCCTGGAAACATGATTTTAAATTAGACATGTAAAAGATGAAGGAAAAGCGATAAAGATGTAAAGATAAGGTGATGGAAAATGACGATGTAGGGAGCTGGGGGTATAAAAGGTGATGATAAGAAAGAGGGAAGGAAAGGCTCCGGGTATCAGATGCTACGGTAATCGAACAAACCTTCCGTGAGATATTGTGGACTTGAAATTGCAACCTAATTAAATGTGTAAAACAGACATTACAACATCAATTAAACGTCGTGTAGATTTAACCAGTTTCACATCAACCCCACCAAAATACGCAAGTCAAAGACACCACATGCTTATATGCAAGATCAAATTAACTAAAATCCATGCCTTGCCTCTGTCTTGTTTTCGATCAATTCTTCAGCCGTAACGATTATTTTGCCTCTATCCTTGTTGGGATGGTTTGGGTCTTTTAGTGAGCCGAGAATTTTACCACCGGGACTTCCGACTGTTGTGGTATAGTCAAAATTGTCGAAACGGTTAGGACTTGCGATTCGAGGATATTTACACATTGTATACATACGCAAGTTCTTTCTTTCGTACCAATAGATCCCAGGTCGCATTCAAAAGTTCCAACAAATTCTTGTGCTCTCCATTCAGGCTGCTTTGGTTTATCCACGTCCACTACAATAAATCTATATACGAAATGAATCGCATGCTTTTAGTATATCAAATTACACTTTTAAAAACCTGTTTGTGTCCTACATCTCTTTTTTTCCCAATCACTCTGTCAAAATCACCAAACTTACTTTAACTTTTGCAACTCTTCAAAGAAGAAATCTATTTCAAACCCTTTTACAAACTTTGGATTTAAGGAATTGTCCACAATGTCTGACCGCCAAGGATGGGCGACCCATGATTTTATCTTTGGGTTGTAAACCTCGAGGAATATTTGTGCGTCAGTTTTAGAAAGGTAATCCAAGTCTGGGAGATCTTGGCACGAAAATTTAAGTTCGACTCGACTGTGAGCTATGTTGTATTCTTCGGTTAGCGACATTGTGGAGGAATGTTTGGGATTTTAGTTGTCTGAGAGTCTATATAATACGAGTCGTTATAATAGTAATAATGACGCCACAAACGCGCCACAATGCCGCCTCTTTAAAGACTTGGCACTCAAACGAGAACAAACGCTTTTGTTCCCTTTTGTATTTTCTCTTGCATGACGATAAACACTGTCGTAAACTACTGGACGGTGATAAATCGATTGTATGCATAGCTTCTGCCAAAGACGACGACGCCCTTACTCTCTGTGCATACTACCGAATGTACACAATAAGCACGTAATAGCTCCAGTGTACACCAGATATCCACATGGCGAATGCACATGTGCATAGCTTCAACTAAAGCAGTAAGGCGGGGGGTTCCTTACTTTAGATGAGATGACTCTCTATATCACCACCAAAACTCATTGTACAATCTAGCCTTATTTATTCCCCTTAACATTTTATGTAGCGATTTACCATTAATGGCTACATCAATACTTTTTATAATCTACACTTACATCTACATTCGTTTGCAGAATTTTTATGTGATCACGTGTAGACGTCAGACGTCTTTCGCATGTTTCCGTTTTTGTGGTTCACGCACTAACACACACATGTGTTGCGGTAAAGTTTAGGAAAAAAGACTACCACGAATGAGGTCAAGTCGCCCGATTTAAACATGGCAAGTGTTTACACTGCCAGGTCTACTATTGTAAGCACAATCATACGGCGAAAAAAAACTCGTCAATTCTGTTGCGGTGCATAGAGGTGTTTGGTTGATGCCAAAACATCATCTACAACATTCTTTGAATTGTGATCTGAATCTAGCCAACGGAAAAAGGTTCTGCCAAATGGTAACGTTAATATTGTTCCTATTGTTCCTTTGATTGTTGCCAAAGGGGAAGGCCGAAGGCGTAAATAAGCACAAGAGGCGTTGTGGGCATAGCATAAAGCGGGCCAAGAAATTGAATTCATCATCGAATCGATAAGCGATAGATGTGACTGAGAATACAACGCGAGTCACATATACTCGACAACGAGATAATTACTTGTCTAATTCTTGGTATCGATAAAGCGCCTATGCAAATATGGAGTACGCAGCGCCTCAAATGATGGAATGTTGGTTACTACCCGAAAAATTGATCTTGTAGGTAAATTCGCAAAGTGGGAGGTGGATTTGTAAGTGTGTATGGTAGTACACGCGTTCGTAGGGGAAAATTTGCCGCACTGTGAGTAGAATGGTTTTCCCGAATTCCGAGGAGGGAGGGAGATAGTATCAATTGGCCGCCCAAATGAATCGCTCATCCGTAATTCTTACCTCAACCGTTTTGTAATTTCCATGCCATGTAACATGTGATATTGGAAAATGTATGGCGTCCATGTTTTTTACCTATAACGTGCTGTACATGCCGTTCGACGTTGACTAGACTGATTCGATAATGTAAGAGACCTTATTCCAAGCTATGCGGATATACTAAAACTAGTTGACTAGGTCCTGATTCAGTTTTAATAACAAGACAATACGAGTATATTAATGTCTGCATAATTGACTTTGTAACACGTACAACAAAGAGGCAGTCGCCTATTTTCAAACTGTTCAATGACGATAACGTGTATTAAACTTTTATTCAGAAATGTACAGATTATATTGAGAAAAGGTATCATCACTCAATGGTTGAAACAAAAGAAGAAAAAAAAAAGACTACGTTTACTTATGCTACAGGTTATAGACGCTTTCCCTACCATGAATACATTACTTGAAAATATTTGACTCAAATTTTTAATCATAATTAATAATTTCTAATGAATTAATTACTGTGTGCTAGTATATTTATACTGTGTTATTAATAACTCTCACATTTTTCTCCTACCGAAAAATTGATGGATCTAATTTTATCACTTCAAACACTTCAAAATCTTCGATAAGTCCAGACTTGACACGAAACCTCAAATCATATTGGCAATTTTCATACGTCGAATTCCACATCTGGCCATTGATGGTAAAGGCTGGACATAAACTTATGCCAGCTGGTGACCTATAATAGTACATGTTCCTATGACTTTTGCGTCTCCCCACAGACGCTCCTCTGGCTGAGTTTCCATTGGGCAATTCAAAGATAAAGCTCTTTGCTGATACTTTGGGTGGACTAGTCTTCCAACTATAAAAATTGTAAGCACCAAAGACGCATGGGAAACCCTTAACTTTCCCTATAATAACTGTTGAAGATTTTTCACTACAAGCTGAAAAAAATTTGTAATCTTTGAATCCAGCTTTTTTTCCTCTGTAAATGAGTTTGAAAGCATAGGGAAGATTCACCAATGTGTAGTGTTCATCTCGATCATCAATCCACGAAGCTATGGCTGGAACAACTGATAAATCAATTAGTTGTGACTCGAATATTTTAGTTCTCTTTTGTGTCAATAGGGATTTTTCAAGCCGTGCTGGTACCATAATGCACTTTTTAATTTGATCTCTCAGCTCTTTGGGTAATATTTTCCGGTATGGTCTGACCTCATCATAATATTCTTTCGATGTCATTGAAAGAAAGTTGACATGTTCAATCAACGGTTTCACACTTTCTGCCATTAATTTAATATCTTCTTCAGACCATTTGGAATGGTCTCTATTCAGATTTCGATGTTGGGCACGCCCCCAGCAAATAATATGTTTCCATAACTCTACTTCCTTGATCGATAATTTTTTCTTTAAAATCGGAACTATTGTAGCGACATCGAGTTCCAGGTAAGCGCTGGAGAAAAACAGTTTGGTTGGATCGAGAATTATTGCTCTAAGACAAACATCTTTGAGTTGTTCGCAGGAAGTAAATCTAAATATCGATTTATAAACATAGCCAGCGTTGTCGCATATATATTTTGACTTTTTTGTAATAAAGTGGTCTTGTATAAACGGAAGCAATTCAGTGAGTCCTAATTCATCACATGCATATAGCAACTCGAGAAGCTTTTCTTCACGAACAGCATTCACATTAACTTTTCCAGTGTAAAAATACCTAAAGTAGAAAAAATTTATAATTGCTACAACTTTTAAATCAGCCGACTCAATAATTTAAGCTCACCTCAAAAGAATCTCAAACACGTCGCCTTCAATGTTTGCTTTTTCGAAAACATAGTAGTCTCCTTGTTTTTTTAACCAATTACTAGATAACGCTGCTTGAAAATAATCCGACCGAATAGATAGTATCAATTTATGTACATTAAATTGTTTTCGAGCCGGTCCCTCTCCGGCATAGAGAACAAGATCGTAGTCTTTGCTGCTTTCCAAAAGTTTGGAAAAATCGGCAAAAAACTGCGCATGAAAATCGGTTGACATTTTTGTGGGAAAAAATTTGGTGGGACAAGAATGTGAACTAATCCTGAATATGTCTCAAGTGTTATGCGATATTCCAGATTATATACTTATTGAAGATTGGTTACACGATTCTCTGTATTAAGAGAGGCGCTCACTTTGTACTCATGTAAAATTCCCTCATTGTTACGTTCAATTTGAATGTTTACACAATTTTAAATAGCGGACAAGCAATACTGCGGCAGACTAAGACTACGCCACTAATTAATTTCAAAGGACAATAACAGTAATAGTAATTGTTAAGAAATATTGTTAATTTCCATGACCTAACACTAACACTTTCTCTCTTTTCTCGTCTAACCAAGCTTGATAGCCGATGCAGCAATAATCTTTTGTTTGTTAGTTGGTCATATTCGCTGTGTGTAGGCGTGTGAATCTTTACGATTGATAACGTAATAGTAATGTCTAGAACATTATAGATAAATTACGAATATGTCATTGGCGCAGCAATGACTTGCCATTTATTATCCGTTACGTACTCTTACCAGGGTGAATGGAGTTTCAAAATCATCGTTCAATGTCATCCAGAATCCATGCATACAAACATTGGGATGTTGCTAAAATAGACATGTTTTGGGGCAGGTGATAATCGTAACAAAGGGCTCTCTTTTTTTGGAGCAGTCGCAATCAATGTATTCATCGGTCTGATATATTCCGGCGTGAATGTTACACTAAAACAACGGTCAGCTGCGTAACCTGCCGCATATTTACCAAGCAAACGTAGCGGATTTGCCAAGGTATAATAATAATAGTCTTGCTTGTACACTTTATTTGATACGCAACGAACGTCTTAATTTGGTGTCATTTGTGTGGAGAAATGTTTCATATTCATTGTTTTATTCTTTCAATAAATCGGGATTGACATCATCGTGAGCTGCTCACTATAGTATTTAGTATGGATGCCTATTCTCGATCATTGCATCCATATAGTCATGGGGTCAATGTGTCGTCCGACCTGGTTTTGTCAAGCAGACCAATTATTTCCTTCTCAACGATCAACATTTGTAATAGGGTCCATCTGACCGACAGCTAATGGTAAATGACGTGTGCTATTTACGCAATGACGATCCAATGAATTTTGATTGAATTTAAAATAAACATATTCTTTTAAGACAACGAACATCGTCGATTTAGAAGTATTATTTTACCAATTTTTAGATTCTGCAGGAAAAAAAAAAAAGAAGAAAAGATAAACACATGCTATTAGACTGCCTAATAATATTGGTTTTTAATTAAGACTGCCCGAATAGGTAAGAATGACACGCTACAAAGAGCTAGACGCAGACGCCGTAGCAAGTTCCCCAAGACGGCCAACGGCCATTGATTGATCTGACATTGCTATTTGTAGTAGAAAGATTACACGAGAACAAAAATATGATTGATGAGTAAGAACAACAAATATAGACGCATGAATAAGCACATATATATAATTGTTTGTATCGTTTGATATAAACAAATTTATCCGCTTCTTATTTAATAATTATGTCAAGGCAGGTTTTATCAAAAGAAATTGACGACGTGAATAAAGTATTATCAGAGTCAATCTTATTACCGTGTCAATTGGAATTGCAACTATAAAGATCAAATAATAAATAAATAGTAAAGGCATACTGATACCAATTAGGAATATTGGTCGTTCAATATTTCTGAGCCATTATTTTAATTATATTATGGATCAGTCTTTTGAAATAATAAGATTGTGTTGGATAATCTTACCACTATTATTGGAGAATAAAAGCGCAACAATTAGGTCATTTCACAAAGAAAAAAGGGTTACAAACTAACAAAGACTGCCCAACAAACGTGTTCCTCTCACAAGTGAGTGACGTTATATTATTACAATCGCTCAGTGCCCGCCTAAATGTTGTTCAATTTTTATCATCAAGTTTACTGTTACGTTGACGTCTAGAATTTGTAAAAGTTGTATCCATCCATCACCTTGCTTATAGTTCAATTACTACGAGAATTCTAAATTCCAAGGGAAAAGCACAAATTTGCTTTATTCCTTTTGGGTAAAGTTATATTACTGACTTGTGTGGCGTTTGCTTTAATCACGGGACGGGTAATGCGGGACAAAATGAAATCTGGAATGTTGACCCCTAAAATCTCTGAATTTGCACCCAAAACGTTTAGCGGTAGGTAGTAACCAATGAAATTTTTGGGACAGATCATTAAGAGAGACATCGTAAAGCATTAGTTATATATCCCGTTACATTGGCGCACGTAATATGAACCATGCAAATAAATATTTAGTTATTAGTTCGTACAAAAATAATAAAGATAACCAGATAACAATGTAAGTATCATAGAAAGGTTTGGGGGGGCGTAAACATGTATAATACATTCATTTTTTATTGTATTTTACAATTGGTTTTATTAATTATAATAACATATGCATGCATTGGCCCGCCTGCTGGCCGTCAAACTTGTAGGTCCAATGCACAATATTTCCTGAGAAGGGTCTTGGGCGCTTCGATTGCGATTGTATGTCACAAAGCTGTATGACATGGGCCTGAAACTCGCATGGTTAACCTTCAATGTGCAATGCATATCGCCGCCGTCAAAATACGCAATTTTTTCTGACATTGTTTTATTGATGTTCTGTTGCAGTGAGTGTTGCAGCACCCTATTTTAATGACTAGACTTGCTTTTATTGTCGTTATCTTGACCCAACCGGATTTAGCCGTCAAAAAGAACGACAGGATTCCTTGCATAAAGTTCACTTCCTGCAGCCATCAATGTTTCTTTGTGCGTGTGCTTGTACTTTGCATGTGCTTGCAACATTTCTATTGGACAGTTTCGAATAACAAACGCAAATGTACACTTAAAGTAAATAGTATATATAAAATTCAAAGGCCGAGCATAATCAAGTTATTTATTGTTGCTCATTTATATGTTGTCACCCGCTTAAAGTGCAATGTATTTGAGCGCTGGGGCCAAGTTCCGTACATATATTTCACAAGGGAGGGCGATGACAGAATCAATAGCGACAGCAAGATGACAATCGATCGCACCATCAGATTTTGACACTTGATTAAGAATATGATTAACTATATTCGTCTACATGCATGGTGTCAATCGAGAGTGGAAAATCAATTATCAGTATCTTATGTGCACAAAGTTACAGACTTCTATTCTTGTACGGCGTTTCCCCTTCGATACAAGACATCCTCCCACTAGCAATCAATTCGATAGTAACAAGAAAGAGATCGTATTATAATATGTGGTTTAGTAGCGTCTAACAGTATTATAATCAGCATGAACGATGATATGTCGCACATAATATATTTACCCGTTCCTGTATATCATTGCTCTGATACATGCCCCTTTCTTTTCCTTTGGCTTGAGGGCTACCCAGGTTCTTACGCTGAGAGAGCAACATTTAAGACTATTGCTCTAGTCATGTGTCCAATCAACAAGTTTTTGTGGAATCTGTCAGATAAAAAAGCTCGGTTGTTACAAAGAGCTCAGATGCCTCCATCTACCCAGCCGGAAGCTTTAGAAATGTATTTTGCAACCCGACACATGATTGCGGCGCATGAGTGAAGAGGAAACATTAATGACATTTGATAACGAGGCAGTCCGTTTGCTTGGCCAATTTTGCTTAGATTGCAATGTTGGATCCATCGGCGTAATCTTGCCATCAGATACGAGAGTAATATCAACAATGATATGATTCTCAAGCAACCCAACTCATTCCATGAAATTTAATCATACACGTTCAAATTTCCAAGTCTGTCAAAGAACATGAACGTTGTGTATTAGCTTACTCATTTGCACCGATTAAGTGTTATCTTGGACATCACAGATGAAAAGCATATAGTAGTGTAACAAAGAACTTATGGCTCGAGAGTATGACGAGTATTACACACGATAATCACGCGGACACCTTCATCGTTACCGTTATCTTGATTATTGATAAAATCTAGAAAGAAGGCTTTTCTCCTTGTTTGAGATCATTATAGTTGCTGCTTGCTGCAGTTACAAGTAAGAGTGCGATGACATTTCTGTTTGATGTGTTGTCATACCAGCCTTTATGCTATTTAGGGTTTAAACAAGTTTTAACGCGTCACGCGTGACTTGCATCGATGGCGTACAGATTATGAACAGGCAGGTTTATGTACTGATTCAAATTTGAACTTTAATCGTTAATCAAATCAACGCTTTAATTGGAGTGGGCGCGCAGATCAAACTTATTCATGCACCCATCCTGTATAACGGTAAAAATGTCGGAGGACAATAAATTAAAAGGTTGGATATTAATATTAAATACCTGAAAAGGGCAGTTAACGCTAGGCCAATCAGTCTTTTGGGCAACTTGAGACAATAATAAAACAATTGATATTAGCTGTAACAAAGTCTTCCCGAAAGTTAACTGTATTATTGAACATCGGGTGTGGGCATTGGTTGCATCTTAATTCTTCCCAGATGTGGATGGGATGTCTAGTATTATACTGCAGACTGACAAATAATTGTTCTATATTTTTTTCAATAGCAAATGCTACGTTTATGTGCCTTCTTTAGTCGTGCCACAGAGTGTGTTAAACAATATATTGTCCACATGCAGCCACGCATATGCAAAAGCGATTTCTATGCACGAATATTAACATGAAATGGAATGTCCAGACCACTGCAACAAGACCCAATCCAGTTATATATTCTTCAGGACAATTGCAATATACCGATAAGCTAGAGGAACAAGATATGGTAAACAATGATTATTACTGGTGATATGATGGGCGGCTTGAAAGCAGAGATAATAGGAAAATCTTAGTCATTTTATTACGTCATAGTGATCTCATCCGTAATCGCTCATTCTCCTCTCGAAGCCTAATTATTTCTTCTTTGAGTGCCACTGTATCGCCACAATACTTCATAAACATCAGTTCCATATCAGTCTATAATAATAAGTAAATGTTAGCCAAAGCGTCAGCGAGGATTTTATTTACCATAAATACACTTTACGTCACAAGTGTTAGATAACGGGTCGACGCACCCGACCGTTCTACCCACCTTTTGTATATGAAATTGTCTCAGCAACTCTAAATGCATATCTTGAATGTCATTTTTTATTGCTGTCCTAAATTCATGTAGACATTCGGAAACAACATTTTCCAGCACCTGATACTGAAACTGTGACAGACCGCTTGCAGCATTTGATGAGGGCGCGTCATTCTTTTGTTCTTCCGAAGAAACTTTGGCGGGTAGTTTGGCTATGGAAGAGGATGGCGGTGAATATGAAGAGGGAGATGATGAATACGGAGGCTCGATGGAGCGTGAGGGTTGTGAAAATGTTGGTAGGGATGAAGGTGGATATGGGGACGGGGACGGGGATGGAGATGGAGTTGGAGATGGAGTTGGGGACGGAGAACGACGTGCTGGAGAGATATTGGGCGTTGTTGCAATAGTTGCAGCAGTTTTAACAGTTTTGATGGGTCTGATTGATTTGACAGTTTTGGTAGTTTTTACAGTTTCCGTGGTTTCTGTAATTGCATTAACGTTGGCAGGTTCAGTGGTTGCTCTGGCGGTTTCCGTAGCCGCGGCAGCAGCCTTGATTGCTAAAGATTCCGTAGTTGGTGAGATCGCTACTCCATTTATAGCTCCCATAATCGATGCGCGAATATCCTTAGTGTCCTTGGCATCGTCACCATCCTTCACAGGCGAAAACATTTCCATATAGTTCTTATCCTTTGTTTCTTTCGCGCTTTGCATTGAACTATTTGCCTTGGGTGTGTTATATTGAGCCTTTCCCGATGAACTTCTGCTATGACTTTTGGGTTTACTCGATGAAGACTTTCTATCAAGAGCTTTGTTCCTTTCCTGTTCACAAATTAAACGTTTTGTGATATATTGATGGACGAAAATCTTACGTAGATAGTTGAAAAATATTTACCACTGGTATCTGAAAGCATAAAGATTGTACAGGGTGTGGTTCATGACCAAGTAAAGTGCAGACGCTTTTACTAGTAGATCGAAGGTCGTATATTATTATCTTTCCTGAATAAATTTATTCACATTGGATTAGAATACCGAGAAATTAAGTAATGCCGGACATAGGACATGCCACAATAAAGCCTTTCATCACCTTGTAATGTGCCAGCAGCTATAGTAACCCCATCAGGTTTGAATGCCAATGCCGTCAAAGGAAACTCTGTGTGTATGTTCTTCAAAATTCTATATAATCAAAAGAATGATTAACTGGCCAAATCTCTCGCCAATTGTAATATTCGCAACTCATTCCAGCCGCCATGCCTTATAATTTCATCCCAAACAAAACACTTACGATCTTTTTCCCACGTCATATAGTACTATCCGCTTGTCCATTCCACTACTACACATCAATTGCGAATTAAATGGCGAGAACGCAATCCCCCTGACCGGTCCAAAATGAGATTCGAACGTCTGTAATGCTGTTGTCGACGCACACGTATCCCATATTCGAAGATATCCGTCTTCACTCCCAGCAGCAAGGAGTCCTCGTTTGAAATATGAGTATTCGAGAACGTTCATAGGTTGCGTGCTTTTTGTGTTCTGCAAGAGACGGGTTAGACAAGAGATTGTAGAAGAAGAATAGACAAGGACAAAAGTCAATGTGGAAGAAAATAATATGGAAATTCTGAATTAAATGCTAAAAGATATCATTCAAGTTGGCATATTTGTGACATACCTGACTGGTAACTACTGTTAAATTACTCTGAATCAAAGAGGTTCTACTATGTATTATTATATTTCCAATATCGCTTGCACTAGCAACCAATGTCTCGTCTATGTTGAGATCTATGCCTGTTATTGCACTCCGATGGCCCTACATTGATGGTGGTGAGAACAACAAAGAATAGTTATACCATTGCAAAGCCCAGGCCACACTAATGATGTTTATGAATAACTTACCTTCAAAGGCTCATCATACTGTGATTCAGTTCTATCCCATACGTGAACGATTTTATCTGACCCTCCAAATATTACGCACTTTGACTTATTGTTGAATCTAATCGCTTTGACATCCGGATATTCCTATGATATAGCCAAAACGAAAGAAAACATGGTGTTAGTTAAAGCATACATAGCACTTTTTCAATCAAACCCGATTCAAACTAATTCCTCACCGAACCCTTTTCAATTTGCAAAGGTATCTTCTCAACAATTGTTCCTTTATGATCATGGATTGACACTGAACCCTTTTGCCCTACACCTAATAGCTGGTCTATATATACATAGAGCGGATTTCAGCCTTAAAGCTCAAAAACATAAAAACCTAACCTACCCCTTTGTCCTTTTTCCATTTTTCTCGTTTTCTCATAATCTCAAAGTTAAAAACTTACTGTCGTGACTCCATCGCGCACAATTCACTCCTGCACGGCTGGAAGGAACAAACGAAGAGAGCTCAACGCCATATAATTGTTCGGGTGGAGAAGCATTGCCAGTCGGTTTGGCTGTAGTCGAAGAGGAGACCAAGTCCCATACTTTTACTTCTAGCGAGGCGGAGGCCAAGAGAAAGCTCATGCTCGCGATTGTGTGTAATCTCTAATGTACAGTTGTTTCGTGAATCCGTTTTTCACGCGTGTGTTTTGAATAGTCTTTACAGTTGGTAATAATTTTCGATATTTTAATTTGTACGACTTTAACATCTTTCAAAGTCAAGTCACGTGTAGCGCGTTTTATAACATAAAAAACAACATCAGTACATTCTCAACTTTTACAGTAATTACTGATTATGCAAGCCTGACAAAAGAAGTTTTCCTTGAATACTTCTATGCCACCGCCACATTAAGCATACAAAAGCAAGATTATGGTTTCTTTCTTGAGTGGTGGTACTGAGAGTAGAACATGAACACATAACAATACATTACCCCAAGCAATTAATACATGCCGATTGTAAATATTTTATATTTAGCCCAAATTTATGGAATGATAACATCCAGAGACAATGAACCAAAGATAATCTTGCTATCTGGTTTCTCATGATACACTATATATGTAAACCCTAGCAGTTATGGATAAAATTGATAAATTATGAAACAACTCAGAATTAAATCAAAGTTTTGAAACTAGAAACACCTCCCAACCAGCCCATTCAAACTCATCAGATGAATGCCTAATTGGAACCTGGTATGAATTTTTTTTAGCAGAGGGTTTTCCATATTTATAATAACTTAAATTTGATAATAAACGATCATAATAGTGTAATTCATAAAATCCAAAAGATAAATCAGGACCATACCCAAAATAAGGAAAATAATTATTTCTATCACAAATAGCATATACATCTTTATCAGTAAAAAAACTTACTATATTCTTATCCCTGCTTTTATCTAATGAAAATATAAAACTTTCTTTAGTGTGAAACCAATCATTGTTGACACCCTGTAAATAGCCGATTTTGCTATTTACTACGGAATTGTTTAATTGGTCAAAAATTCACTCCCATGTATTTTAGAGTT